TTCCTTCCTTCCTTCCTTCCTTCCTTCCTTTCTTTTTCTCTCTTCTCCCTCCCTCCCTCCTTCCCTCCCTCCCTCCCTGGTTTGGTTTAGACTGGCATCAAAGAGATCCCAAAAACCTTAACCCTGGGCTGTCATCCAGTGGCCTCCCATATTTCTGCAATATTTTGAGGCCAGGGACACATCTGAATTTGGTAATGTGTGCATTCACTAAATAGTTTTGCTGCCCAGCAAACTGGAATACCATGGCCCAAAACCTAATATGCTATTGTCTGGCTGCCTTTTTTCATCACTTACGAAGAATTGAAAAAGTACTGATCAAACCAATTAGTATTAAAAGCTTTGGTCAGCAGTCTGGTGTTGAACGTCAGAGCAGAGAGGGATGTAAACCTATACATGAAACCCTATACTCACTTGCCTAAGATCTCTGGGCTTGATTTTTAAAGAAACTGTGGCAATCCAGACATTGCCTCTGGTTAGGACAGTTGAAAAGTTTAGTTGAGCAACATCTGGAGGGCCACAGATTCCCCACTTTGATGTATAACGTTGCATGGCTACTGAAATAAATTATGCATTGATGCCATCACAGTACACATAGTGTTGGGAATATTCCAACAGCGTTGGAGTAAATCATTACTACATGTGAGGGGAAAATTATTAGTAGTTTTTTATATGTTTTAATGTAAGTTAGAGTGCATTTAATAAGGCCTAGATAACTGATGTATGACCTGTGGGGGCATTTACGGGAAATAAGAGGAACTTACAAAGTGAAGGAAATTACAAATATGTTGACGAGGACAGAAGGCTAAGCAAAGGGCACTGACACGACACGTGTCAACATCTGTTCTGGGAATGATCTGATCGTCATAATGTGGTTTGTGGTTTAACAGAATAAAAAGGATAGCAACCAGGTAAATGGCACCTCTTGAACGAGCTGTCAGTTTGACGGCTCGGGCAAGCAGGTCGGCATTGCAATGTGTAAGTACCTTGTATGTTGTGATTGCATTTATTTTTATGCTGAATTTTATTTTCAATAA